TATATATATATATTTTTTAAGCTTTTGACATGCAAGAAGTAAAATATAGATCTAAATAAAAATTATTTAAGGCACAGTGTTACACCAACACAATTTTTTTCTGTAGGCTATACCTAGTATTAAGCCATAGTATTAATGTTTTTAATGCAAATAATGTGTATATTTTATTTATACTCTATTTTTCTAAAACAAAAATAATAGTCCATTTGTATGAATTTTATATTTACAGTTTTCATTTAATATTAATTTACAAGTTATGTACCAAATAAAAAGGGTTTTATAGGTATTTCAGTTTTGAATTGATTCATTGAAATAAACATTTAAAAATGATTAACATAAATGAATTAAAAAATAATAACACACTTTTTTTAGGAAACTAAATGTGACCCTGGAGCACAAAAGCAGTGTTGAGTCGCTGGGGGATATTTGTAGCAATAGCCAAAAATACATTGTATGGGTCACAATTATTGATTTTTGTTTTTCTTTTATGCTAAAAATCATTAGGCTATTAAATAAAGATCATGTTCCATGAAGATATTTTGTAAGTTTCCTACTGTATATGTATGTGTGTGTGTGTGTATATATATATATATATATAAACTTAATGTTTGATCAGTAATATGCATGGCTAAGAACTTCATTTGGACAACTTTAAAGATGATTTTCTCAATATTTAGATTTTTTTTGCACCCTCAGATTCCAGATTTTCAAATAGTTGTATCTCAGCCAAATATTGTCCTATCCTAACAAACCATACAGCAATGGAGAGATATTTATTCAGCTTTCAGATGATGCATAAATCTCAATTTCAGAAAATTGACCCTTATGACTGCTTTTGTGGTCCAGGGTCACAAATGTCAAATTAAGAAGTGAAGGTGCACAGTATCGCTTAATTATGTTGCCAGCAAAATCATCAGAAACGTAAATCCAAACTCTATAGGAGCGCATGAGCAGTTCTGTGGGTTTTGCACATGAATCAGATTTTATCTGATTCAAACAGGAAGCAGCCGCATTGGGGAAGAAGGTCATGGTTCTGGATTATGTTGTTCCCACACCGAAGGGCACAACCTGGGGTAAGAAAACCGGAATCAAAAGCATGCAGGTTTAATCAAAAATGACTTGTAATAAGAGGATAATAAGATGTTTCTGTTCAGGTCTGGGTGGCACGTGTGTGAACGTGGGCTGTATTCCCAAGAAACTGATGCATCAAACGGCCCTGCTGGGTACAGCCGTGGAGGACGCACGCAAGTTCGGCTGGGAATTCAGTGATCAGGGTGAGTCGTATATTCAGCACGGCCGAAAATATGAAGCTCTACATGGTACACAGCGGTACATGATAAACTGGCTCTTTGATATGGATTGCAGAAAAGAATTACATCACAATTTAATGCATTCCAGATAGAAGAAGTAAACGTGAGTTCTTCATGCGGTACAGATTTTAAGGCCGTATGTGTGAAGGCTTGAAGTTGTGATGCAATTTTGTGATTTCTGATCTGAAGACATGTTTCCGATTGATTTCCTCTTTCTTTGAAAGTTTCAGTATATGTTTTTTAATTGTGACCGCAACCTTGTGAATATTTCTTGAAATGGTTAAGAAGACTGTTACGAGAGTCCTCATTTATATCTGTAATCGAAAGAGTTGTTAATGTGAGATTTAACTCCAGGAATCTTCATAATACACAGGACGAGTGATCATTGCAGCATTCAATGTATTGCTTTCAAAAGCTTCCCTTAATGGTCTTAATGTAGATTTCTTTTTGTCCGTCTCCTGTTTTAATTCGAATTGTTTACAGCCAGAGGAAACGGCGCTGACAAACAGGAGAAACACTGCGCAACTGTACAGTTAGGAGACTTTTTAATCTACAAATTGCCATTTACCATAGATTTACTGTAGTAGCACTAACTGCACCACGGTATTGTCAGAAATTTGGGTATTTGTGTCAAATTTATTTTATTAATAATGAACAAATCTACATCCTAACTTAAGCTACTATTAAATGTGTATTTCTAAGAGACACAAAATGTTATCTTTTTATTATTATTAATATTATCAGGCAACACAAACCTGTTTCTTGATTTGAAACCATATTACTCATTCGAACGTGCAGAACGAAGAAATAATTTTCTTCCAAGATATTTATTTAAAGGAAAAATGACCGTAAAAGTGTAAAGAATTCAAAAACGAAGTGTTTGTCATGTTCTGATCATAAAGAATAGTTTAAAACCCACAGGTAACCATCTGGTTTTTACAACTTTCACATTGGAGCAAAAATCTGCCTTTAAATTTGAAAGAAATAAAAATGTGACATTTATCTTGATAATTATCGATATCGACTGATATGAAAAAAACATTATTGTGATAATGTTTTGGCCATATCGCCCAGCCTTACTCATGAGGAAGCAGCAGAAACTTAGGAAAGCTTGAATGCATGACTTTTTTTTTTTCCTGTGCTGACGTCTCAAAACAGGCAACAGTATATAGTAAATTTCCGCTCTACTTGCACTTCGCAACAACACAGCCTTGTTTCTGCAAAGACATTCAGCGTGTTACAAACAGCATCTGACGTGTTCAGTTTTTACATGAGTATGACGTGAGAAACTGACACAGGCAAATAAGCTGTTCGAAATCTGATCTGAGAGGTGAGACTGAAACTGATTACCAGAAATGTGTTTTGAATAGGGGTTTATACGTATGAATGTTGCTTGAAATGGATTAGTAAAAATCAGATTTCATGTGGTTTATTTTTATTTATTTATTTTTTTTCTGTTCTTACTTGCTAAATGTGATCGGATTCCAATCGTATATGCACACAATTTTTTGAACAGAGAGTCTGAGCAAGGCCACAGTAATGTTCTATTTCAAATAGAGTTTGGCCCTTGATGTAACACCGAGTATTTACAGAGTTATGATTTGAAATGCTGAGTTGCTCATTTCAGTTTAGTAATGCACACAATTTGTGTGTACATTGACAAGTCATTGTGCACTAGTTACAGTAACACAGAGTCTTCCTAGATTTCTGAAGTTGATGTAATGTGGCTTTTATATGACAAAGCACTTTTCGTTGATGCTTTTCTGCAGCAATCTCAAGAGGTTTCATTTGTGCTTTAGACAAACCCATAAAGCACAAAAATAGGGCTCAATTTTTTTAATTTTCAAACTATTTAATTATGTAATTATTTATAGGCCTACCTTAAACTGTATAAACCGTGCATATACACATCACTCATGGATGGATGGATGGATAAACGGATGGATATAGCGCACAACATATTTGTTAAATGAAATCATAGCTTTTTGAAGTTAAAAGCTATTTCTGTTTTTTCCATCACCAAGTTGAAGACCTCTTTAAGTGATAATTAAGATGTTTATTAAATCATGTTTAAGACTTTTGATCTGATTTTTCATAAAACATAAGTATTTTCATTTGTAATTCATAAATACATCTTATATTTGAGTTCATGCATATCTATTTTAAGTCGCAAATGAGTGAAATGCTTGCAACTGTAAAACAGCATTTTAGTCATTGACATGAATGCACAAATCTATTAAAACCTCAATACAAACGTTTTGATGCTTTGAGGGGGAAAATGGTAGATTATGATCCTGCTGTTCACCATAATGACAAATGTTTCGCAACCGAGTAATACAACGCGATTCGGATCAAGCATCAGAAGCAAGTGTGAAATGGACTTTTAATGCGAGTCCTTCATATTTCACTGTTGTTGGTGGTGTACACGCAGTCTTTACTTAGTCCTCAAGACTTGGACTTCGCTCTCCCAATGCTAACATTGAGTCGTTTTCTGATCCTCCGTCCAGGAACGGGAAGATCCCAGTGAACGATGAGGAGCAGACCAACGTTCCTCACATCTATGCCATTGGAGACATCCTGGAGGGGAAGTGGGAGCTCACGCCTGTGGCCATTCAGGCCGGGAAGCTTCTGGCTCGCCGTGTTTAACATTTAATTATTGCAGGTTTGCGTCACATTCTGAGTTGCATTATTTTTATTCATTCTGAGGAATACTGAATCTTTATTTATGTTTTGTGAGTGAGATGAATTAACGCATATTCATATTTATTTTAGAACTACAGTAACATCTTCTGATTTCTCTCGACATGGGGACAGGAGAGCTGTCAGTCAATAAATTGGGGAAAAAAGTAACTTGCGCTACTTATTTGAAAAAGTAACTCCGATATTCTCTTGTAAATTAAAAAGTAATGTGTTACTTTTCTAGTTACTTGAAAAAAGTAATCTGATTACGTAACTCGCGTTACTTGTAATGCGTTACCCCCAACACTGCCTGTGTTTTTGTATTCTAAATGTTTGCTTAAACTCTGTAGGGCTGTCAAAATGGCTGAAAAACTAAATTCGAATTTTGTACTTGAATATTATCAAAATTCTAATTATATTTGAATTTAAAATGCATAATTTCAGTTAGCTTTTGGCTTCTCTCCTGAGGCCACAAGAGGGCGCATCGAAGAAAAATATTACTAATGCACGTTTATTCAAAGCATAAGATAACATTACTATCTGTGAAAAAAAAAAGTGCATAATGTTTCAAATGTTTGTAAACCAATTATAATTAAGTTGCTTAAACAACTATAAACAAAACGGCATCATGTATGTATGTATGTATGCATAGTTTAATACAAAGGACTGAAAGCCAATCACACAGTACATTTTTCGTTTAAAAACACGAGTTGCAGTGGGATGGGGAAAAAACCCACCATAAAGTCTCGAGATATGTGTTTGTTTTTTTCAAAGTTGAACTTGCATTAATTTTACATGGCTTTCTAAACATGCGGCTCTTTTGTGCGAGACACGAGTGCAACGCTGATAGATGTCCCTCTAGAAAGTGTGCGAAATATGCGTTCTGTGTGTACGGCTCGGTTTCAGTTTTGACGTAAACAAGATCTTCTCCGCATTGATGTTCTCTTTTCCCGCAATATTTAGCCGCATCTAGTGGCTTCAACTGGATAGTTTAACAAAAACATTATAATGCAATGACACTTACATCATCGCATCTCGTGCGTCACTGATTAGGCTGCCTCCTTAACGCACACCAAAAACGTTGCATTAGAATGTGGATTTTTATTTTAAATTCGACGAATATTCGAATTTTTTTTGGACAGCCCTAAAACTCTGTAAATAGCAGCTGGTTTTCTGTGATCTCACCGGTTCCTGTTTCCCTCTCTCTGTGTGTCGTTTCAGTGCGATTATGTGAACGTTCCCACCACGGTCTTCACTCCGATGGAATACGGCAGCTGTGGTTACCCAGAGGAGAAGGCCGTCGAGATCTACGGACAGGAGAACCTCGAGGTGCGTGCTTCAAACAGACGTCAGACTGGAAATATTAATAACCTGTGCTGATAATGACTGTGGTTTTAATGATGTGCCGGTGATTGTGTTGGTCTCTGCAGATCTATCACAGTCTGTTCTGGCCTCTGGAGTTCACCGTTCCCGGTCGAGACAACAACAGGTGCTACGCCAAGATCATCTGCAATAAACTTGACAACGTAAGACATGCATAACTGTCCTCGTCCTATGTGAACGTGTTATTCAAAGCATAAGATAACATGACTATCTGTGAAAAAAAGTGCATAATGTTTCAAAAAATGTTTGTAAACCAATTATAATTAAGTTGCTTAAACAACTATAAACAAAACGGCATCATGTATGTATGTATGTATGCATAGTTTAATACAAAGGACTGAAAGCCAATCACACAGTACATTTTTCGTTTAAAAACACGAGTTGCAGTGGGATGGGGAAAAAACCCACCATAAAGTCTCGAGATATGTGTTTGTTTTTTTCAAAGTTGAACTTGCATTAATTTTACATGGCTTTCTAAACATGCGGCTCTTTTGTGCGAGACACGAGTGCAACGCTGATAGATGTCCCTCTAGAAAGTGTGCGAAATATGCGTTCTGTGTGTACGGCTCGGTTTCAGTTTTGACGTAAACAAGATCTTCTCCGCATTGATGTTCTCTTTTCCCGCAATATTTAGCCGCATCTAGTGGCTTCAACTGGATAGTTTAACAAAAACATTATAATGCAATGACACTTACATCATCGCATCTCGTGCGTCACTGATTAGGCTGCCTCCTTAACGCACACCAAAAACGTTGCATTAGAATGTGGATTTTTATTTTAAATTCGACGAATATTCGAATTTTTTTTGGACAGCCCTAAAACTCTGTAAATAGCAGCTGGTTTTCTGTGATCTCACCGGTTCCTGTTTCCCTCTCTCTGTGTGTCGTTTCAGTGCGATTATGTGAACGTTCCCACCACGGTCTTCACTCCGATGGAATACGGCAGCTGTGGTTACCCAGAGGAGAAGGCCGTCGAGATCTACGGACAGGAGAACCTCGAGGTGCGTGCTTCAAACAGACGTCAGACTGGAAATATTAATAACCTGTGCTGATAATGACTGTGGTTTTAATGATGTGCCGGTGATTGTGTTGGTCTCTGCAGATCTATCACAGTCTGTTCTGGCCTCTGGAGTTCACCGTTCCCGGTCGAGACAACAACAGGTGCTACGCCAAGATCATCTGCAATAAACTTGACAACGTAAGACATGCATAACTGTCCTCGTCCTATGTGAACGTGGTGTGGTTTGGTTTGTGAAACATTATGATTCTAAGTCATAATTAGTGACTTAACTGGATTTGTCATTTTACAATAAGGTTTAATTCATTAACATTAGTTGAACTAACAATGAACAGTGCTTCTACAAGTGTTGTTATTGTTAACTAAAGCTATTATTGTTTCAGAAATCTAAATAAATGGTTGAGAATTTAATTAGGTTGACGTACTGAAATTACTTGAATTTAGAAAAGCTAAATAGAAATATGAAAAAGCCTAATAAAAATGAACACTGCGTTATTGAAACTTAAAATGGAGAAATGGAAATAAAAATAAAAACAGAAAATGAATGCTGTAATTATCAAAAAATAACACTGGCTTTGATACCATTTGTTAATCTTAATTTCAACGTTTTACTAATGCATTTAAAAAAATCAAAAGTTGCATCTTTACACTAAACAATGAACAATTGCATTTGTATAATAACCTTGACAGATTCATGCATTCTGTAAAAAAAAAAAAAAAGTTTAACTTCACACATTTTGCTGTAGTGTTACTTTTTTATTTTTTACTTTTAGATTTGTCCGTCAATTAATATTGATGCATCTGTAAATGAGTAATATTAAACTTGTGTTTTACCCCCCAAGAAATGTGGTATTTACCCCGGTGGTGGTGTTTTTTCTGTTGGCTTACACAATGCATATTTAGCAAATGCAGTAAAGATGTTGCCTTTCTATTGGCTTTAAATGATATACATGTTCATATTACAGGCTCATTTCTAAGAGGCAGTGACTGATTTCCTTTAAGAGTTGTGTTGTGGGAATGGTTTGCGTTTGATTCCATGCCATCATTACTGAGAGACACTTCAGGAGTATTAAGTGCCGTCTGTGTGCAGGAACGTGTGATTGGCTTCCACTATCTGGGTCCTAACGCCGGAGAGGTCACTCAGGGCTTCGGAGCCGCCATGAAATGTGGAATTACCAAAGATCAGCTTGACAACACCATCGGGATTCACCCGACATGTGCTGAGGTGCGTTCCTGTGACCCTCCTGCTTCATTATAGGTTACTGACATGTCATGTTCTTATTCTTTTGAGTTGTAACATGCTCTTCCCTTCATTTGTTTCCAGATATTCACCACCATGGAGGTCACCAAGAGCTCCGGCGGAGACATCACTCAGTCCGGCTGCTGAGGTTAAACCCTGCTCGTTTAACAGGCTGTCAGGACTAGTTTAAACTAGTTTATTCTAGTGATTCATCCCTCTCCTCTTGGCATAAACACACTCGAGTCTCTTTAATTAATCTCAGGTCATCTGAAGGCGTAACATCGTGATCCGCCCTGCTCTTAAAAGGCTTTTGTGTCTCACTGTTGTTCCACATGTATGTCACCCTTAACAAACCATGTGAAGGGTGTGTTGTGGGCGGAGTCTGGGAGCCGCAATAAGAGGCGGGGCTTCGCTTGCCTAGAGACCAGTGATTGGGGGAGGAGATGATGATTGACAGCCTGTTAGACAGCGGGGTTACTCTGCTTTAACTGATTGTCCGAGTCAGAAATGCACCTGTGCTTTACATTTTTCTTTCTTACACCTTATAAACTCATGCTCGCACATTCGCGCTTGGTGCTCTGTGACGTTTTAACCCTTACCCCACGTTCAGTGGCGGGTTACGACTGATGTTTTCTGCACTTGGACTTTAAATAGATAAACTCATGTTAACGAGAACACTGATCTTTGGCCTTCAGACTCACGAGGGCCGCATACTTTCGTTTCTTTTGCTTGTAGGAGTACTTTTCTATATTTAATAGTGGTTTGTCTTCAGTTGCTCTGCATCATTCCACGTCAGGATCCTAGTAAGACGGATTTCACTTCCCGCTCTCATTAGTTTCTGATTTAGCTGTCGAGTAACTGAGATGTGATCGAAGCGCAAACCAAATGCAGCATGTAGATGCTTCCTTAAAGTATTTAAACTAACAGGCGTCACTGAGATCCGTGTGACCGCAAACTCATTTGTAGTTTGTGATGCCTGTCAGAGCACTTAGAAATATCAATAAAATGTGTGTTCATATTTTTATAAATATATCACTGGATTACATTACCTGTATCTGTATGGAGGTTTCATTCAAGTATAGATGCACGTCTGTTTGTATTTGTTTGACTTGCTGTTTATTTGCTTTCTGGATTATTTTGTCCTATTCGTCTCATCATTCACTCACTTTTGCTTTCTAAGGATTGTGTTTAAGGGTCAGAGTTCTTACATTTACTGTCACTCAGCTCCTGATAATTGTACTATTTCAATAGTATCTCTGTTCAAATTCTATTCATGAACTTTAATAAAACTATGTACACAAGTTGAGTTTCTCACAGGTTTATCTGCAGTAAATCATCTCAAACGTGCATTAATCAGTGATATGTAAGCCTTCAGACTAATGAACATCATAAATTGTGTGCATGTTTTTCAATGTGTTTATACTTTGATTTATCACGGTTTAATGTTCAGTCAATATAATTAGACCAGAATATGGTCAACTTTTTGCGTAGTATTTATTATAGTATTTCCAGGGTTATCATTTATCAGTAACATTTACAAGCAGCTTGGAGACTTTTTGCTGAAATGAAAATTTCACCTAATACCATTTAATTAATTGGATCCATGCAAGTCAGCACAAAAAAATTTGCTCTAATTTCTAAAAATCTATTTACTTACAGCTTTTGTCAGAGCCTCAGATTCGGGTTTCCTTCTCAGTAAATTACACACTGCAGCTTTTAAGATGTATTTAGATGATTGGATTATGAATGAGATGAATGTAGTGCAGAAACCGACAATAATGCATCTGGATAGAATGGCAGCAGCTGATTGGCTGGAAACTCTTGATTCAGTGCACATATCAAACTATAGCTGAATTCAGTTCAGACAGCTCGTCCTTTTGATGATTCTGGATGAATATTCACAAACCCGCAGTGGCTTATAAAACCCTCAATTCCTGCACAGCACACCTGTTTCTGTGAAGTGCAATGCATTCATCCGAGACAAAGAGCGCCGGAGACCTGAGAAAATGATGATAAAACACTTCATTTGCATGCGTTTCATTCAGAGAGAGAATAATCACAGGCCGATGGATCAAACACACCTGAGCAGACGTGTGTGTGTGAGAGTGTGAGTGTGTGAGAGTGAGTGTGTGTGAGTGAGTGTGAGAGTGTGAGTGAGTGTGTGTGTGAGTGAGTGTGAGAGTGTGTGTGAGTGTGTGAGTGAGTGTGTGTGTGTGTGTGAGTGAGTGTGTGTGTGTGTGAGTGTGAGTGTGTGAGTGAGTGAGTGAGTGTGAGAGTGTGAGTGTGTGAGTGAGTGTGTGAGTGAGTGTGTGTGTGAGTGAGTGTGAGAGTGTGAGTGAGTGTGTGAGTGTGTGAGTGTGTGAGTTAGTGTGTGTGTGAGTGTGTGAGTGAGTGAGTGTGAGAGTGTGTGAGTGTGTGTGTGTGTGTGTGTGTGTGTGTGTGTGTGTGTG